AAGAACTAATTCTGTGTTGAAATCATTCAAGGTTTTGGCTTCAACCACTATATGTGGCAAAGAATACCACAGGCCTACCAGTCTCTGGAGAAGAGAGTTCTCCTCATATCAGTCATAACTGGCCTACTTCATATCCTTACCCTGGTTCTGGTTCTTGACTTCATTGTCATCAGGAATATCCTTCCTGTATTTACCCTGTCTAGTCCTCTTCGAAATCTATTGGTTTCCATGAGAACTCCCTCATTCTTTTAAGCCCCAGTGAAAATAGTCCTAACCAGTCCGGTGCCTTCTCATATGCCAGTTCTGCCATTTCAAGAATCAGTCTGGTAAACCTTCATTTTACTCCCTCCATTGCTAGAACATCCACCCTCAGGTAAGGAGATCAAAACTGCCTCACTACTCCAAGTATAGTGTCACCTAGGCCCTGTGCAACTACTATTCATCATCCCTCCAGATGGACTTGAATCCTCTCACAATGAAGGCCAACTTGGATTGTTCACTGCCGGCTGAGATGCATGCTGTCTGTGTTGTGGCAGTACAGGACATTGGGCAGACCATTTTTGAAATAATGTATTCAATTACTGTCTCCCTGCTACAGGAAAGATGTTGTGAAACTTGAGAGGGTTCAGAAAAGATCTACAAGGATGTTGCCAGGGTCGGAGAGTTTGACCTATAATGGAAGGCTGAATAGGCTGGGCCTATTTTCCCTGTAGTGTCAGAGGCCGGGGGTGACTTTATAGAGGTTTATAAAATCAAAAGATGCATGGATAGGGTGAATAGTCAAGGTTTTTTCCCCAGACTAAGGGAGTCCAAGACTAGAGGGCATAGGTTTAAGGTGAGAGGTGAAAGATTTAAAAGGGACCTAAGGGGCAACTATTTCACACAGAGGGTGGTGCGTGTATGGAATAAGCTGCCAGAGGAAGTGGTGGAGGCTGGTACGATTACAACATTTAAAAGGCATCTGGATGGGTACATGAATAGGAAGGGTTTAGAGGGATATGGATCAAATACTGGCAAATGGGACTAGATTAATTTAGGATATCTGGTCAGCACGGACGAGTTGGACCGAAGGGTCTGTTTCTGTGCTGTACAGCTCTATGACTGTATGATTGGTGTACAAGGACACTCAAGTTTCTTGCACCTACCCCTTTCCCAATCTATTCCCATTCTGATATTAACCGGCCTTCCAGTTTGTGCTCCCAAAGTGGATCACCTCACTTTTACTCACATCGCACTTCATGTGTCTTGCAATTGCCCACTAACTCAACTTTCTTTAAATTCACTCATGGAATGGGATGTAGGGATCTCTAGCTAGGCCAGCATTTACTGCCCATCCCTAATTGCCTATAGGACAGTTAAAATTTAACCAAATTTCTGTGGGTCTGGAGTCACGTGTAGGCCAGACCAGGTAAGGATGGCAGTTTCCTTCCCTAAAGGACATGAGTGAACCAGATGGGTTTCTTCCCCTGACAATTGACAATGCTTTAACAGTCATTAGTATACCCTTAATTCCAGATTCTTTATTAAATTCAAATTCCACCATCTTTCATGGTGGGATTTGAACCCAGGTCCCCAGAATATTACCTGGGTCAATGGTCTAGGCCAAGTATCTCTCAAATAGCAATGAATTGATGGCCTAATTGACCTGTTTTTTTTTTGTTTTTCCGTGGGCTTGGCAGAGTGTGCTGTGTGGAATGTTGGGCTGTTCTTCGATTAGTGACGTAGATCTTTAATGTCCGTTTGAAGAAGTGAACAGAGTCAGATTTAGATCAAATTTGTCAGGCAGCACATCCAACACTCCTTTCACGTGGCCCAAGAGCCATGGCTGGTAACCATACACATATAAGAAACACAAAACATTTGAGTTCGGAACAGGAGTAAGCCACTCAGCTGCTTGAGCCTGCTCTACCATTTGGTAAATTCATGGCGCATCTGATTAATCTACATTCCCACTTTTCACTTTTCTCCTTTCACCTCCTTGCATATCATTTTAATAACAAGAAGAGCCATTTCATTAAATCCAATCAAAAGCACATCCTAAGAGCCACATCCTAAGAAACTGCCATCCTTACCTGGTCTTGCTGACACGTGACTCCAGACCCACAGCAATTTAGTTAAATCTTAACTGTCCTGTGGGCAATTAGGGATGGGCAGTAAATGCTGGCCTAGCTAGAGATCCCTATGTCCCATGCCATGAGTCAATATAAAGAAAGTTGAGTTACTGGGCAATTGCATGACACATGAAGTGCGATGTGAATAAATGTGAGGTGATCCACTTTGGGAGCACAAACTGGAAGGCCAGTTATTATCAGAATGGGAATAGATTGGGAAAGGGGTAGGTGCAAGAAACTTGAGTGTCCTTGTACACCAATCATACAGCCATCATGTTGTTGCTTCAATGTTTGGAGGGATATGGGCCAAGCATAGGCAGGTGGGACTAGTTCAGTTTGAGATTATAGTCAGCATGGACTGGTGGGATCGAACGGTCTGTTTCCATGCTGTATGACTCTATGACTCTATGAGCATGACTCTAAATGCTAATAATAATGAGAAACAAGACAGAGACACATTTCAAGAACCTTTTAAAGATTTTTTATGAAAGAAAATGTCAATTGAGTGGTAGTTTTTCACAAATGGAATGTAAATAAAAGTTTTACAAAATCAAACAAGCCATTTATTTGCAGTGAAAGCCTGTTCTAACATGGAGAGTGGTGTCCGCAGAATCAGACTGTGTTATAACTAAATCATGGATGGGTGATCCCAGACAGAACTTTAGACAGGTGGCCAATGGGGTGTCAGGCCAGGACCAAGTGGGGAATAAGGGTCAGTGAAGTGTCAGGCTGCATAAAGGATGGTGTCCAGTCAGACCTAGGTCAGGGTGGGGTTTGGAGACGAGGCTGATGGAGGGTGGTGTAGAGCTAGTGTCAGGGCTAAGGCTGAGGAGGGGAGTGGGGTCAGTTTGGGGGCGAGGTGGCTGTAGAGTCAGGCTGGTCGAGTATTCCTCATTCCTCATGAGATCTCGCACCCTAGGCAGGTTCACAGTATTTTGCGTGGCAGTACCATCAATATGGGTCTGACCAGTTAAACCAGTCAAACCAGCTGCCTGGTTGCATAATGAGCTGCACATAGCTGTGGAGGCACAGCCTGTAGATCCCTGGGCGAACGTATTTGGCTGCATATTCCATCTGATTGAGAGGTGAACGTGCAGTCATAGAGTTATAGAGTCACAGAGCTGTACAGCACAGAAACAGACCCCTTTGGTCCAACTCATCCATGCTGACCAGATATCCTAAATCAATCTAGTCCCATTTACCAGCATTTGGCCCATATCCCTCTAAACCTTTCCTATTCATATACCCATCCAGATGCCTTTCAAATGTTACAATTGTAGCGACCTCCACCACTTCCTCTAGTAGCTCATTCCATACACACACCACCCTCTGTGTGAAAAAGAATTGTGCAAATTACCCACCCACCAACACTTCCCTTGTGATTCTCTTTTTTTTCACTCATACCACCCAGAAAAACAATTAATAAAACCAATCATAACCCATCCCAGCCTTCTGGGGGATTTCCCGGTGTACTTTGCAGTGCAGAATCTGGCCACTCGGCCCATTTGCTCTCTACTAGCACCCACACAAACCTCCTCTCGCATTGAATGATCCATCTATTTCCTTCTCTCTCATGTTTCTCTGGCATCCCCTGAATTGCCTCAGTCACCCTTTCTGGCATCGGCTTCTGCATCTGAACCACTCTCTGTGTGAAAACATTCCTCTCAAATTCTTCCTTGCATTTACTCATGACAGATTAGTTTCTCCTTCTTCAAACTTTCAACCCTTCAATCCCCATGGCGATGATTTCAATGGATTCTTGATGGAAAACAGATACTGATCAAATTCAGTTTGGGGTTCTAATCCACTGTGGATGGTTTGCATTTACACAGAATGTACTGGGCAAAGACAGACTGATGTCTCTCCTGTTTTTTTGAAATGAAACTCAAAGGCTCCATAAGGGCGTGGATGTTACATCCCAGGACACATCCCGACTGCTTCTCCCGTTGCCAAAGGTAAGATTCTGAAACTAAGGAGTTCAGCTGCCAGATCTTCTAGGAAACCCAAGCTAGATTTGCGATTTAACGTGGCAGCTATCAAATGTCTTATCATAATCTGCAGGATAAACAGAAAGGCCCATCTTCAGATTTTCACAGACCATTAATTCCAGGATAATTCATACCTTACTGCTTGCCAATAAGCAACTTCTTTGCATGCTTCATTGCGAAAGTGAACCGAGAAAATTGAGGTCAATTTACAGTTTAAGACTCTAGTGACAGAAAATGAGGCTTAAGAAAATCGCTTTCTCGTTTAGCCTAAGTTGATCCTCGCCTCACACTTGTTAAAATGAACAACGGCAATCAAAGGGCCTGAAAAAATCTGCCACTTACACAGAGATAAGCTGAGAGGATGGGATTGAATTTCCATTTATATTTCTGCTCACAAAAGAGAACAAAACCAGTAGGGAATTCAGGACAATCGTCATTATCTGTAAACAGGCTAGAATGTAGAACTCATGACGATGGGAAATAGCTGTGCTCTTGTGCAGTGCTGTTCAGAGGTACCTCCCCAGAGGAGCTCAGCTGTCATGGGGCATCATGCTCATTGTCTCTGCCATCCTCATACAACCACTGTAGCTCATCTGTAACATCCATCATCTAACTGACGTGTCTTTCTCTCCTTGTCCTCTGAAAGAGATCTCTGTCGCTTTTCAGCTCTGATCAAATGGCCGAAATACCAACAATAAAAGCAGAAATTGCTGGAGAAACTCAGCAGGTCTGGCAGCATCTGCTGGAAGAAAGCAGTTTTAAGTTCAGTGACAATTCTGACGAACAGTCACTGGACTTAAAACATTAACTTTACTGTCTTGCCACAGATACTGCCATATTCGCTGGGCGAGTCCAGAAATTCCTGTTTTTTTGTTCCACATCTTCAGCTTTTTGTTTGATTTTAGTGAAATATCAACAATTCCTTCTCTGGGGTTGCTTTACCCAAATTCCTTCCGCTCTTGTAATTTTCAAGCACCTCTTCTTCCTGTCTTTTATCATCTGCAAAGGAAGTTTTTAACAGATATCTTAGTATCCATGCTTCAATAGTGTCCATTTTCTTCCACAGATCTTTATGTACTGTCCAGGTTTCTGAGGTGCACAGGAATGTAGCATCATAAAGTCTTTTGCTCATTGCAATATTGAATAGTTGAGGCAAGTTTGTTTACAAGAAATTATGCCAGTGCATGAGAGAGAAAGGGACTTCCGACCTCAATGTGGACTCCCGGCTTTGAGATGATTCCAGAGTGGGCTTCCAGCATCAAGAGCCTTGAGGTGAGGCCTGGCGTGGCATGGGAGTGAAGCCTGGCATGGTCTGGGGGTGAGGCCTGCGCGGTCTGGGGATGACGCCTGGCGCGGTTTGGGAATGAGGCCTGGTGCGGTCTGGGGGTGAGGCCTGGCACGGTCAGGGGGTGAGGCCTGGCATGATTTGGGAGTGAGGCCTGACGCGGTCTGGGGGTGAGGCCTGGCACGGTCTGGGTGTGAGGCCTGGAGCGGTCTGGGGGTGAGGTCTGGGGGGGAGGGGGGGTGAGGTCTGGGGGTGAGGCCTGGCGCGTTCTTGGAGTGAGGCCTGGCGCAGTCTGGGGGTGAAGCCTGGCATGAACTGGGTTGGAAGGACTATTATTCTGACGTTTTTATTTTTTTTTCTAAATTATTCCTATGATTTTGTACTTTTGTACCTAAGTTGGTGTGAGGGTGTGCAACGCTGGACTTTTTAATTTCTTTATTTGTCTAATTTTCTCCTAAGAAATTGTCCTTAAGAATCTGTATCTAGGTACCTCTGTACCTAAGGTGGCGCCATAAGATGTGGCTTGTAAACTTTTCACTGTTTCTTATTTGACGACATGACAATAAAGCTGATTCTAATTCCAATTGAAGCATAAGCTGGTGGAGTGCCTTGAAGCAAGGTTAGGAGAAGCCTGCCACTGGCCTCGCTATCTTGGGCAGAATTGTGTCTGGGCAGTACAATTCTGTGCAAAATGGCCAAGAAGGGCCCCAAAGCCTCAGTTAATAAATGCAGCACCATAATGAACCAGCTAAGAAGAGAAGTGACTGTTTGGAATCCGGTGCCCTCCAGTTGCACCTGAAATAACTCCATGAAGGTTGGTGCCCCATCACCAAGTCACCCTTTATTTACACGTGGAGAGTCCTTGTCACTGATCCACCTTCCTCAGAGCTGGCTCCTGGAGTGAACAGAACCCCTGACACTCCTGCTTATATCTGTTAGCCAGGGCTCCCTGGTTGGCCCAGATTAACAGCCCCAATCGGGGTATGAGATCCATCTGGCTAACCTCGTTACAATCACTACAGCACCATTTAGGGAGCACCCGCGCCATCCAGAGAGTTGGGAAGGAACCGGGACATGGTATCATCTCCTGTCCAGTGATTTCCGTTGAGAGTGTGTGGTTACCTGTAAGTTAAGAAACGAGAGATTCCAGCTCAGCTAGGTCCCACCTAATGGTGGAATAATCTGCACACCCACCGACTAAGTTCACTCTCGATGGTAGCCATGATGTGGAGGTGCCGATGTTGGACTGGGGTGGACAATATCAGAAGTCACACGACACCAGGTTATAGTCCAATGGGTTTATTTGAAATCACAGGATTTCAGAGCGCTGCTCCTTTGTCAGGTGAACCTGTTGGAGTGTAACCTGGTGTCGCGTGGCTTCTGACTTTGAGTTCACTCTCAGGCAACGTGGGCCGGGCACATTTTTGTTTCCTAAATATAAAAGTGTTGGGATGGGGGTGTAATGGGAAAGAGGAGATTTGATTGTCAGTCAAAACTCAACTAATCAGATAATGAGGCATCTATTGACTTTACAGTAGGCTGTGGAAAGACAGGACTGTGAATAATCCACATTATAGGATTTATTTATTTACTTTTTACTTTGTTCATTCATGGGATGATGGCCCGCTGACCAGGCAGCATTTATTGCCCATCCCTAATTGCCCAGAGGGCAGTTAAGAGTCACCCACATTGCTGTGGGTCTGGAGTCACATGTAGGCCAGACCAGGTAAGGATGGCAGTTTCCTTCCCTAAAGGACATTAGTGAACCAGATGGGTTTTTCCTACAATCGACAATGGGTTCATGGTCATCATTAGATTCTTAATTCCAGATTTTTATTGAATTTAAATTCCACCATGGCAGGATTCAAACCCATGTCCCTATAATGTTGTCTGGGTATCTGCATTAGCAGTGCACAGTGGCTCAGTGGTTAGCACTGCTGCCTTGCAGCACTAGGGACCCAGGTTCAATTCCACCTTTGGGTAACTGTCTGTGTGGAGTTTGCACATTCTGCGTGGGTTTCCTTGTGCAGGCTAGATGGATTGGCCATGTTAAATTGCCCATAGTGTTCAGGAATGTGTAGATTAGGGGGATGGGTCAGGGTCGGTGTGGACTTGTTGGGCCAAAGGGCCTGTTTCCACACTGTTGGGATTCTATGATTGAGATGTATAAAATTTTGAGGAGCATAAGATAGACTGGAAGAACCTTTCACCTTGGTGGAGGGAATCAATAACCGGGGCATAGATTTAAGGTAAGGGGTTAGAAGGTTTAGAGGAGTGTGAGGAAAATAGTTTTCATCCAGAGGGTGGTATGAATCTCAATCCCACTGCCTGTCTGGATATTGGAGGCAGAAACCCACATAATTTTTAAGAATTATTTTGATGCATACTTGCGATGCCAAGGTACGAAAGGTTGTGGGCCAACTGCTGGGAACTGGGAAAGTTGTCTTGACCAGTTCAGATTTGATGGGCTGAAAGGCCTTTTGCTGTGCTGTAGAAATGCTGAGTGATCAAATGGCCAGGACTTTGAGGGGCACAGGATGGATGAAGGTACATAGTCATGTGATGAAACCTCCAGGATTATAGCGTTGATAATTGTTAAGTGAGCAGGGCAAACGTTTTTGATTTTGACCTTTACAGTGTGTCCTAAGAAAGCTGGTTTTCAGATGTACATTGGACACTCTGCAGTAGTTCCTTTGCAGTTTGTAATCACAGATTGCAGAACGAGGCCCTTTGACCCATTGTGTCTGTGCCAGCTCTTTAAAAGAGCTGCTCTGACTCCTCTTGCCCTATGCCCCAAGGCAAAGCAAAGAAAAGCATTAGTACCCAGTAACACTGTGATCATTGTAAGATATTCCGTGCTACAAGAGAGGCTCCTGGGGCTTGTTAGAGAGGTGCAGGGGGTTAAGTGGCTCTAGGCAGACAATTTTTCCAAAGACTATGGTTCTCTTATGGCATTCTAATGGCAGGTTTTCCTTAATCTCCATGAAAATGACAAAAGGGCCATGCCCTCATGTGAGAGCTATATTTCCCAATGACAGCACTAACTGCCAAGTATTGCAATCCTAAACTGAATACCAGGCATGTGCAAGGTTACACAAAGAGATTTTTATTGAAAATAAATCGACATAACAACTTTCGCTCAACGTTTGCATTTTTATGCACAATTAACAGATGCTTTTATGCCTTCCTTTCGTTGGGAGCGAGCTTGTGTGGAGCATAAATGCTGACAGCATTTATTTGGGCTGAAGAGCCTGATACTGTGCTGCAGACATAATGGACTGAGCCATATGCTTTTTTTTGTGAGAGTTGCATTGAGTGTTTGGAAGGGAAGCTCACAAGGCCTAGCAAGATTTCTTAGCGTATCATACCAAGCGGGCCATGTTTACTGCCCATCCCTCCAATCCAGCATCCCTCATGTCCAGTTAAGTTCTGATCTTACCACCCACCATTCCCAGGAAAATTCAACAATCAGTGGATATCCAAGAGGCCTGCATTCCAGGTGCATCTAAAAAAAACCCAGTGTGCACCCAGGCAAGCACTGGCATTCTGAAACTGCCCTGCTCAATGATCATAGAATCCCTCGAGTGCAGATAGTGGCCATTCAGCCCATCAGGGCTACACTGACTCTCCAGAAAGCATCCACCCCTCCCACCCTAGCCCCGTAACCCCACTTTTCCAATGGCTAATCCACCTAGCCTGCACACCCCCAGGTACCATGGGCAATCCACCTAGCCTGCACATCTTTGGACTATGGGAGGAAACTGGAGCAACCAGAGGAAACCCACGCAGGCACGGGGAGAACGTGCAAACTCCACACAGTCACCTGAGGGTGGAATCGAACCCAGGTCCCTGGCACTGTGAGGCAGCAGTGCTAACCACTGTAACCATTGTAGCTAACCGCTGCAGCAAACTGAGCTGCATTGCCACCCTTGGTGGACAGAATCTGAACATCTTGGGGAAGTCCCAATTCTCTGATAGGGATGTGGGGGTCCTGGTTCGGGGGTGGTGTAGACAGGGGAGTGCCCTATCCTCAGAGATTGACAGAGGAGGCCACACCATCATACCCTGGCTAACCAGTCTGAGTTCATCATATGTGCAAGTGCCACCTCAACCAATATTCCCTCTGTGACTGAGAAGTTGCTTCCATGTACTGGCCTTGGAGATCTGCGCAGTGCTGGGAAAAAATTACAGGGAATGTCATTCTCAGTGGTGTAGAAGAATGGCCAGCATCAATATACGGTGAGGATATTCTCTACTTCACCAGCATGAGTGCCACCATCTCCTCTCAGCTACCTGACCCTTACTCTATCTCTGCTAAACCTCCCACCAATAACCAAACTCAGGCATTCTCTCACTCTCGCATGAAACATCATGCCTCACTTGCTCTCACCCCAACAAAACCTCCCACACCATTAACCCTGCATGGCCTCTGCACTAACTACTTGCTTGCCCAGGGCACCACACCATCGTTCAAGCACGTTTCTCGCTCCTTCTCTCCATCTAGGAGAAGACAGCCAATAACAAGGCAGGTTGTTGTGTGACCAAGATCTGATTCCTCACCATCACCCCACCACCTTCCCCCTCTGAGGAGAGAATCTTGGCTCTTGCAGGAGAAAACTGGAACCATTCCAGTGGGGATGCTGTGATATCCATGTCCCCTAACTGATTAAATACAGTCCAGAAAAAAAACCCTCAAAAAAACTAAAGAACTGGG